TTAAGCTAACTAGTCTGTAGTTTTTCTGCGACTTCTTCAGAATCTAAACATTCCTGGAAGATACTACCAGTTCATCCATTATCTTTGTAGCTACTTCCTTTAATATGAGGATACATTCCATCAGATCTAGGAGATTTAGCAGTCATTAGCCCCATTAGTTTCCCTAGCACTTGTGCTGCAGTGACAGTTATTGTTTTATTTCCTCTCTTTGTTTTGCACTTTGAATATTTAGCAAATTTGGGAAACCATTATGTCTTCTACTGTGACTGAAACAAAGGAATTGTTCAACGCCTCTGCCATTTCCTGGTTCCCCTTATTTCCCCAGCCTCATTTTCCAATGGGCTTATGCTCATTTTGGCTTCTCTCTTCCTTTTTACATATTTAAAGAAGCTGTTGCTGAGCCTGCTCATGATTTTGTAAACTTCTATCAGATATTTTCTTACTATTCTTCACTCTCCAAGAAAAATAGTTCAAACTTCTCCCACTATTCTCGCAGATAAAATTTTGTATCCCTACAATCATTTTTGTAAATTGCTTCTGTGGTCTCTCCAATGCCTTTATATCCTTTGTATAATGTGACACCCACAACTGTACACTATACTACAGCTAAGATCTAACAAATGTCTTATACAAGTTCAACATTATCCTCTTGTTCTTGTGTTCTGTGTCCCAGTCAATAAAGCTGAGGATACTGTATGCATTATTAATGGTTCTTTCAACCTGTCCTTCCACTTTCAGCAATCTCCGTACACAAACACCCAGGTCCCTCTACTCCTATACCCCATATTTTCTGTTGTCTTTCAATGTTTTTCCAAGCAAAATGCATTACCTTGCACTGCCCTGTTTTGAGCTCCGTCTGCTGCCTCTCCATCCAATCTACCAAATTGTTCATATTGCTTTTGGAGTTCCATGCTCTTGACCTCACAGTTTGCAATTCTTCCAAGTTTCATGTCCTCTGCAAACATTGAGTTTGTCCCCTGCTCACCAAGATTGAGATGATTAATTGGGAAAAGCATGGCCCCTAATACCAACTCTTGGGGAATGTCACTACAAACCTTCTTCTTGCCTGAAAAATATCCATTAGCAACTTGTGTTTCCTGTCACTCAACCAATTTGTATCTAGGTTCCTACTCTCTCTTTTATTCCATGACCAATAAGTTTCTTCACAAGTTTGTATATGTTCAAACATGGAAAATTTTCCATGCACTGAATTAGCTGCCCAATGTTTACTTGTAAATGCTGATAGTTGCATTCGCACATCCAAGAAATATGGCAAAAATGGTGGCTGTTTGGCCCATTGTGTCTACGCCAACCAGAAACAAATCTAGCTAATCTGATCTCACCTTGGTAAATCTTCTCTCTGGGATATCACATTCTTCCATCATGTGCCAAAAACTGGACAGAATATTGCAGCTTGGGGTGAGCGAGCATTTTAGACAGTGCTGACCTCACTTATCTGCCCTTGTATTCCTGCCTTGGCCAATAAAGTAGAATATTCTTTCCATAAAGGTGTTTGATCACCTTTATCTATCCTGTTTCACTACCTTGAGGAACTTATCACATGATTAAATATCCCTTTATTCGTATTTTATTCGCTGTTCCTTAACCTTTAATGCGTTCTCTCACTTCTGCAATTTAGATTTCATTTGTCACTTTTCTGTCCATCTTACCTGTCTGTATCTTGTCACAGTCTGTTGCTTCCTTGCTAATTCAATCCCATGGCCCATTTGTGTATCATCTTCAAAGTTCTGAATGGTTCTCCTTAGATTTGAGTCTGAAGTGTTGAGTAATGTCAAAAACAGCCAAGGATCACGTTTTAAGCCCCATTGGACGCAAGCTTCCAGTCATAAAAGTACTCATAGAATTCCTATGGTGTGGAAACAGACCCTTCGGTCCAACAAGTCCACACCAACCCTAAGTGCATCCCACCCAGACCCATCCCCATATAACCCACCTAACCTACACATTCCTGAGCACTACGGGCAATTTAGCATGGCCAATCCACCTACCCTGCACATCTTTGGACTGTGGGAGAATGCCGGAGTACCCTCAGGAAACCCATGCAGACAGTCGCCCAAGGGTGGAATCGAACCCAGGTCCCTGGCCCTGTGCTAACCACTGACAGTAACTTTTTGCTTTCTGTATTGATTGGCCTGTCAATAGCTTTGCTTAGTCCCACAAACACATTGAAATGCATTGTCCTCATTAGACCTCTGGGTTTGATTCTGTTCTTGACTTTGAGTCACTGTGTATAAATGGTAGGTTATTGAAGTTGAATTCAGTGAATCTGGTTTAAAAACATGTAAAATTCTCAGTGACAGACATTAAGCTAACTGGCCTATAATTGTTCTAACTGCCCAAGCAGTTTACAAGTGAACTTCAGGGAGGCAATACACTACCCATGACACTTGACTGAGGTGTCATGCAGCATGATGGCCTCTCACTGCCTTTGGATTATATACAGATGGGTAATAAGTTAAGCTTTTTGCCTAAAAAGCATCCTAAGAACAAATAATTGAATAAAAAACGCAATCAGTCTATCTGGATTAGACGCATTGCTCTGGAGCTTAAGATAGAGGATCACATTGATCTGGACTTTGCCCTTTCTTCTCTCCCTGATATTTTTATGGTGTCATTTATTTCTCTTGCTTGCTCCTTCCACAAAAATTTCACTCACGTACACTGCCAAGGTGAACAGACTTGGTCAGGTAATGCAATGCAAGCCGAAGTCCTTTGAACTTTGTTTTGGTGTCTGTCTTTACCCCTAGAACAAAGGTTTCTACTGGAACTTAGAATAATTGCTTCTTAAGGACGAGTGTCGAAAACCAGGGAAGCAAATTATCCTTGCACAAGTTTCTTTTGTTGAAGAATCCATTTTCCCATGGTATTGAGCTGCTTTATGAAAGCGTCGGCACATTCATGCGTCAGCAATTGGGCTCGTCTGTGTGAATTGGTTCTAAAAGTTTTAAAAAGGCAGTGTTTTGAAATATTGCAAAGTACTTAAGCTTTTTGTTTTTGTGTCAACAGATGGATCCAGTGAGGGCAGAATAAAGCAAATAATAGCCCCCTTTGCTAAAAGCATTATTTGTGGAATACAGAGTTACATAGCAAGATCCTAGATTCCGTGCAAAAAATAATTGAATATTAAAATATTGTAATAGCAATTTGGATGCTGAAATTGTTGGGCAGGCCTTTCATAGGTTCTGATTCGTATCACTGTCGACGAGAAGACAAAAATTAGAATCAGAGTGTGAGCACAAAGAATTTATCTGTTCAATGAAGCTTCCCCTGTCAAATGTCTTGCTGACATTTGATATCAAGATTCTGATGACGCCTTGAAATACCATAGGCTGCTGGTAACCTTGGAAAATTCAGTATGTCAGCACATTAAGTGCTCAAAAGCAGAGAACTGACAGTCCTTTGAGTAATGATATTCAAAGGAATGCATTATGTTTCATGAGGCAGAGGGTAACTGGTGGGCATGTTGTGTTTTTGCTTTGCCAATCAACATGTTAAAAGTATAATTTACTCAGAGAGTACTTAAGACTGATTTGTGATCATACTGGAGTTAAATAACCTTTTATGGCGTGAGGGAAGTGCCGTTTTACTTTGGGTGCCTTCTTATTGGCTTTCTTGGGTTCAGTTCATTTTCTCTTGTAAAATAGTGACCTTAAGTCTGACACACAGTTTTAACAGACATGCTGAGCAGGAAGGTCAGGGCTCAATTTTGAGGCAGAGGAGCTTGGGGTGGGGAATGATCTCCAGTGGCTTGTTGATTTAATTCCTATGTGGTTAGGTAGAGTGATGCTTTGCACAGAGGGTTCCAAGTTTGAGTCCAGAGTCTGTACTGAGGGAAGTGATTAGCAACATTTGGGGAGTGAGATATCTGGCTTCAGGCAGTTGGCATGAGATGTCCTAGTTGGTATGATGAAGTAGCACTTGGCTGGGGAATGCATGTGCTGCTGCCACCTGTCCAACTGCCCGACTGGTGTGCAGTTCTATTTGAGGGGGAAACGTTTGGTCAGGTTGCATTGCCGCATCTTATGAAAGAAAGTAATACTGGAAAAAATGTGTTCATATTCAGCAAACATTGATTTCAATTTATTTTGATGTTAATCTTAGCACACTGCCATAAATTTCAGTAGAATCTGTACATTATCTTTACCCTGATTTACCAGCAAGAAATTGCATGTCCCAAAGGAGATGCTAGTGTGCAGAAATGGATAGAACTGTGCAAGATACTTCATCTTTGATTAATACATCTCCGTTCAAATGGGTTATCTTCTGTTACCTCATCACTGAACTTGCATGCAGTCTTGGTATCAATGTCTTCCTTCTGTTCTGAATTAAATGACAAAAATACCTTTGTGCTATCCTTGTTAATGAATTTGTTTTTTGTTTCCTCAACATGTTAGCAGAGCTTGTCTAATTATTACAGCTAACAAAGTGGAAATGCTAAAACTGTGGATGCCAGAAACGTGAAACAAAAACAAGTGTTCCTGTGACTGCAGAGTATTTCCAGCATTTTCTGCTTTTGTTTCTGATAGGTTAGACTGTCACCTGAGCTCTGATTTGTACTTGGTAAATCTGCTTGTTTGCTATTGAGATAGTGATCGAGGTACCTCAGACTTTTTTTTGTAATAACTTTGAATCTCAGTAACTTGAGTACTTGATATGGTTATCAACTATAAAGATAAAGAACTCTGGCTTACTGATGTTGGTGGTATCCAGCGACCTCTGCTATGTCGCATGTCGGCGGACATTGGATGAGAACAGGATCGTTTGTTTAATTCTGTCACACCAATGCTGGAATTTAACAATAAATAACAAATATTGGATATCATGGTCTTGGAGGGTGGCAGATATCTGTGGATTCGCTCCCAGAAGGAGGAGGATAGGAAAACAAAATGCCGAATTTGAAACTGTTGATAACAATAAGATAACCCATGCAATATGATGTATAAATTATGTCAAATCTGTCTTTTTATTTCCTCTGATAGGATGGCACACCAACAAGCGCTACGATTCCGTGGTCCAGCTCCTCCAACAAATGCAATGCTGCGGGGTCCACCACCACTTCATGTACGTCCACCTCCTCCTCCATTTGCGATGATGAGAGGACCTCCACCACGTCCTCCTTTTGGGCGACCACCATTTGATCCTAGTATGCCACCAATTCCACCACCACCAGGAGGAATTCCACCACCTATGGCTCCACCACATTTACAGGTAGGAGGTACAGAGGATGGAAGTTTCAAAATACATTTTTTCTGTCTTCAAATACCCACAGCTCAGTTGCAGCTTTGATTGGTTCCCTTTTGTTTGAGCATTTTGTCAGGCCACGGTCTCAGCCATGTAGATCAGATATTTTTGTTTATGTAATATATTGGAGAGAATATGTGCAGTATTTTCAAAGAGTAAATGCTGCTGCTAGTTTTATTGCTTAAATTCAAACTGGAATGCAGTCAGCCATAGTTTTTTTTATGGCTATCCAGTGAACCCTTTGACAAACAATATTTATTTGAACCCAGGATGAGGACAGTGTTGAGCTAGACTGTGATACCCTTTGTAAATCCCAGTGGACTGCCTCTGATTCCATGTTGATTCATGCATGAAAGAATGACCAATTGGGTGTGTTCCCAGTGGGCATAATGGTCTCCATGTGAGCCATACCTCAGCACAAGTTAATCCTCTCAAAGGAGGAGAGGCAAATATTGGAATTTTAATTACATATGGTGAAGCAATTTGAGATTATAGTTTAGATGTAAAACGAGAATGTGAGTAACCATGTGCTGGAAAATCCATGTATCCTGTTTCTCTGAGCTTTATGGTCTTCATAATTTTCTCATCCTCAAGTTGTATTATACTGTTCAGATTCTGCAGCAGGTCCATAATCTGAACCCATTGCCTTTTATTGAGATAACAAGTTTTTTCTTCCTGTACCTCTGAATTGGTTTAGCTTATGATTACCCTCAAATTCAGGACTAAGTTTTTTGAAGATTGATAACTGTGACTGACGTGAGTCTCTGTTTTACAAGAGTAACAACCATTTTCCTCAAATCACTTATAACTGCATTTTCTGATTCTCAACTGGATAACGTGCAGTTCTCCATTTCACACACAACCCCTGCAGCTGTTGGCTTGCTGAATCCGTTCTTATGTGTTACTTTGATAGCAACAAAATCTCTGCCATCCTGGTTATTTGCCCTCGCCTACCCCTTTTTCATTCAGTCAACAGGTAGTGAATGTTTGAGTTTAAACTGATTCAGGAGCTACAAGTCTTGTGTGAAATGTACAGTATCTCTACTTAGTTTAAGCACTGCAGACAAGAGAATATCTGGTCCACAACTGCTTCACCCATCTTTCTTCAGATCTGGACATACTTTAACAAAGTCTTCATGTTTTTCTGAGTCTGGAATATGCAATGTGATCAGGAACAAGTGCTAACATAAAAAATCAGTGGAGGTGGTAATTTCCGTTGGATTTTTCTCAAGGTGTAATTCAAATTAGCACTCTGATTAACTATGAAAACTGAAAGCTAGTTAAAGAACCTAATTAACAGAACCTGCCTGACAGTGGCAGTTATTTGTCAATCAACTGAGAGTGATTGGATCTAAAAACAGAAATTGCTGGAAAAGCTCAGCAGGTCTGGTTGCACCTGTGAAAAAAAAATCAGAGTTAATGTTTTGGGTTTAGTGACCTTTCCTCAGAAATCAGAACAGATTGGATGTTCATTCTTAGAACAAGAAGCTGACTTTGCAGTTGCAACTTGGTCGTGACCCATAGTTCCTGATAATTGTAGACATGTTTTGCTGTCCTGCAGATTGGGAGAGCTTGAGTGCAATGAGGGCTATCTTGGGAATTGAGCCGGAGGTGGGATTGATTTGGTGTTACGATGGGGAAGAAGGTGCTGCTTTTCATAACTTGTTTAGACTTCAAAAACTGAGTGTTCAGGGTTTTCATTAGGTGAACAGGTAGTGAATGTTTGAGTTTTAACTGACTCAGGAGCTATAAGTCTCTTGTGAAATATACAGTTAAGCTATTTGGTCTTGCTACAGACCACACTTGAGTGATCTTGGTAAAGTTAAAATATCATTTGTTAACTTGTACAATGATGAAGCAGGACCAGTGACATGTTATAGCTGTGGCGTGTGGGAGCTGGTGGTTACTTCGTGGGCCATGGCAACCACAACTACATGGCAGCAACTTGACAAACCAGAATTACAAGCTTGAGCTGCAATTTGACCTTCAGATACTGTGATGTCTTCGGGATGGGAAACTAATCTGGATTCTGCAATTCAAGAGGTAGTCATACTGCTTAGATATGTGCTTCAGAAATGGATGTGGCCATGAATAAGGGGGTGTGACTTTGAAGTAAATATGGAGATCCAGAAGGGAGCTATGGAGGAGCCTCAGCCTTGTAATTGGGGCAAGAGTTTGAAGTTCTTGTGGAGTGCAACAACAACTGTAGGGGTGAAGTGCGAACTGGAATGGCACCCTGGTGCAGGGAACTGTTCAGCTGGCGCGAGTAATATGTGAAGTAGTTGTCACTGGGGGCTAAATAGTTTCGGAGACGAGCGCTGTTCTCTGCTGCCGTGAGCATGAGTCTTGAAGGCTGTGTTGCCAACCTGATGACATCTCCTCTGGGTCAGTGAGGACCCTGGAGAAGGAGGGGGTGATCCAGTTGTTGTGGTTCGTCTTGGTACCAACAACTTAGGACTAAAAAAAAAGTAGTTCTGCTGAAGGAAAAGGAGTGACGGGATTAAGTTAAAATGCAGAACCATAAAGATAATTTCTGGGTTATGAGCTGAGCCAGAAGCAATTTGGCGTAAGGTAATTAAGGTTTGCAAATCACATGCTTGGTTCAAAGGTTCCAGGGGCACTGGCCTCCATACTGGGGAAGGAGAGAGTTGTACCATTGGGATGGTCTTGACCTGAACTGTCCTAGGACTAGTGTACTGGCAAATCATAAATAGCAAACTTTGTTTTAACCAGCATGAACCAGCGCACTTGACAAACCAGCAAAAATTATACACCTGAAGTACGGAAGTTTGCTATATTATCACGATGTCTGAGTAGTCATATGAGGGTGCAAGTGAGAAGGCTCTCTGGCAAGTTTTATCTAAGACATTGTTGCATTATTATTTGAAATTAATGCTGTAAATCAAGTATAACAGTGATGTGTTGTACCCCATGTGTTATGTTTCTGTTACTTAGTGTGCTTTTTTACATTGCTTATATGGACCTCTTGATTAATCAGCCCACTCGTGGTCCCATAGGTGGTGGGCAATGAAGGCTTTAAACTAAGTATTCTAGGAAGGTTCACATGAATAATAGTTTGGAAAGTTGAAAAGACAAGTCAATAGCACAGTATAGCAATGTGTTAATAACCAGAATGTATCAGGAAGCAAGATTTATCAACATGGACCAACAAATAAGCTCAATCTGGGGAAAATAAGTAAAATGCAGAATTCAAGTTTTTATTTTATAAATGTGAAGTGTTAGAAGATGGTTCAAGATGCGGTTGCGAGATGACCACAGAGCTCTTGAGTACTGAAGGTTGTTTGACAGTTTGGAAGGACAGAAGAAAGGAAAAAGAAAAGGGGGTTACTTTATAAAGAAGGTTGGTACAGTCATGTGAAGTAATCTTAGCTCAGAAGATCAAAATGTAGTCTCAGTTTGAGAGGAGATAAATATCAAAAGAAACAAATCATTGGGAGTGATTTGTAGGCTCACTGATAGGTACACTTGTAAGATGGAATATAAATTGAGAATCATTGAATTTTACGAAAGGGACTGCAATCATCGTGGGAGCGACATTTCCTCTAATTTTAGTAGCCACTGCACAGCCCCTGGTGGAGACACCAGAGATTAATATGTTGGCATGCAATCAACAAGGATGGGCCCTTGGAGTGACCACCCAGCTTGGAGGGAAAGTTGCATGGAGATCTTGATTGTGAACAAGTTAACTTGACAAAGGTAGTTTAGAGGATTTGATGAGGATATGTATAGGAGGGTTTCTTCAAACTATAAATTCTGGAATCAACCAAGTACCAAACTACTTCATATCTAAAAATGTGATAAGATTGGATTCATTAATTTGTAATCTCATTGTAAATGATCTTCTGAGTAAGGGTGATGAGAACATTTAGTTTGTGTGAGAAATTTGGATCTATAATTATTCTTAAATAGAGGTGGTTGCAAAGATATGAAGATAAAATTGACTAAACGAGAATGTGAAAGTAGCCTGAAACATAGGAATCAGTGGTAGACATTTGACGATGTGTTTCGAGATAACTATTTCTTTCTTTAAGAAAGAAAGATGCTGCAAGAAGGATATGTCATGTTTGCCTAACTAAATTAACCATATCAAATTGAAAGAAAAGATGCTGTAAAGATGAGTGACTTAGTGTGCAAGAAAAACATGAAGCAAAATTAGCAGGAAATATGAAATTAGAGTGAAAGCTTTTATGTTCGTTTAAAAAGCAAGGGAGTAGCTAAAGTCAGCATTGGTCCTTTAAACGCCACATCTGGGGAATTAATAATAATGTAAATTCAGTAAATGGCAGGGAATTTGAGCAAGTATGTTTGATCTGTCTTTGTTATAGAAGACACAGAATATTAGGAAATAGTTGGCAAGGAAATAGGAAGGTTAAAAAATCATGATCACTAGAAAAAAAGTATTCGGAAAATTAATGGATCTAAAAATTAATAAGTTCCTTGGACCTGATGGCCTGCATACTCGAGCCTTATGGGAAATGGTTGCAAAGATAGTGGATGCTATTGTTGTAATCATCCAAAAATCGCCCAGATTTTGGAAAGGTGATGGAAAGCAAGAAACGACATACTATCTAACCTCATGTTTGTCGTTGGTAAATGCTAGAATTGATGATTAAAGAGGTACTAACGGACCATTTAGAACATCATAACAGAATTAGACAGTCAAAAAGGGAAACACCGTTTAGATTTGAATTCCTTGTGGAACAAACACAGCTGATAAAGGGGAGCATAAAATGTATTTGAGTCTGCAAAAGTCATTTGACAAGCTGTCACATAAAAATGCTGAAGATAAGAACTTAGGGTTTCAGGGATAATATTAAAATGGATATAGGATTGGCAAGCCAGCAGGAAACAAGATAAGATAAATTGGTCATTTTCAGGTTAGCACATTGTGTATAGTAGAACTTACTGGGGATAGTGCTGGGGCTTCAGCTATTTTTGATCAATATTAGTTACTTTGATGAAAGGACTTATACTACCATCAGTAACTTTTCTGATGATAGAACGATAGGCTGAAAAGCAACTTGGGAGGAGAATTCAGTGGGTTTGCAAAGGGATTTAGATATGTGAAGTGAGTGGCTCAAAATCTGGCAGAGTAATGTGGGAAAATTTGAAATTTCTACTCTGGTAGCAAGAATAGAAAGCCAGAATATTATTTGTATAGAGTCAAACTGCAGAACTTTGTAATACAGAGCATTTGTCCTTGTACATAAACTACAGAATGTTGGCATGCAGGTGCAGCAAGTGGAAAATGTTATATTGATTTTAAAGCAAGAGTGACATTGTATAAGGTTGGTTAGACTTGTTCCAGCTATATATAGTGTTGGCAAAACTGCACTTGGAGTGTTGTATCCAGTTTTCACCTCCTTACTTAAGGAATATGTTTGCTTTGGAAATGGTTCAAAGAAGATTCAGTCGTCTAATTCATGGGAGGAATGGGTTGTCTTATGAAGAAAGCTTGAGCAGGATCTGTACAAATTGATGTTCCTTCTCAGCAGCATGGTTGAGCAGTTGCTCAGATGGTCTACGTACTGGATACATTGACTCGCGGTTCCAGAGACCCATGCAGTGGCAGGGAAAATGAGGGAAGAATTAGAGGTTTTTTCTGAAGAAGGGTCTAGACCCGAAACGTCAGCTTTCCTGCTCCTCTGATGCTGCTTGGCCTGCTGTGTTCGTCCAGCTCTACGCCTTGTTATCTAGGAATTAGAGGTAGCTCATTTCGGTTTTTGGTTGGGTGGGAGTAGAGCTCAGAAGAGTGTTTATCTTAGTGAAATATGACTGAGGATGGGATGAATTTTGGGAATATGCTGCACTGCTGTGGTAACATTCTGACCAGTCAGAATCTACCTGCACATTCTGGGAATTAAGATTGACAGTTAACAGTCCTTGCTGTATCTCCATGCCAATTATGGCCCAAATAATCAGTACCCTCTTCTCTTTCTGTCTAAAGTGGGGTGTCTCTTTTTCAAGTCTGTTTCTCATGTTCTAGTTCTGATGAAAGGCTTTATCTTGTTTCCTTTTAGCAATGTTTAAGTTCTGTATTACCAAGCATTTATTTACCTATGAGAACATAAGGGGGCTCACGTTACGTGTAAGAGATGAGAGGAATCTTTCCTGAGACAGTAGTTAGACTTTGGAGGTCTGTTCCAATGAGGGCAGTGGAAGCTGGAGAATTGAATATGTTTAAGATTGATAAAAAAAACAAAAGAACTGTGGATGCTGTACATCAGGAACAAAAACAAAAGTTGCTGGAAAGTCTCAGCAAGTCCAGCAGCATCTGCAAACAGAAATCAAAGTTGACGTGTCGGGTCCTTCCGGAACAGTTCTGAGGAAGGGTCACAGGACCCAAAACATTAACTCTGATTTCTCTCTGCAGATGCTGCCAGATCTGCTGAGCTTTTCCAGCAGCTTCTGTTTTTGTTTATGTTTAAGATTGAGTTAGGCAGTTGCTTTGCTGGCAGGGTGCAGTGGGCTCTGGAGAAACGGGTAGGTAAATGAAGTTAATGTCAAATCCAATCAAAACATGACCTTACAGAATGACAGATGGGTCAAATGGCCGAATGATTCTATTTCATGTGAATTTATGATCTTGCTTCTTTGTAAAACTGTCCAGTGCTGCTGATGAGAGGCATGTTGCCAACTGTTTTCTTCATGCACTCATGAGGACAAATGCAACACTGCTAAATTTCAAATAATGACAACCATTTTTATGGCAGAAGAAAAGGTGCAAAACAGAATGGCCACAATTAGGTGAGATTCTGTCGAGAGGCAGCACTTGCTGAGGAATCAACACTTTATAACCACACGAATGACTTGTTTAAGACAATCAGTAAACCACGTAAGTTGACTCATTTATGCTTTTTTGAAACGCAAGGTCTGGTGTTCTGCAAACATAATAAATGTCAAACTTTATGCCTTTGCTGAATTACCTCGAAGATTAGCGAAGCTATTGTTCCATGTTGTTTTCTCCCAAGGCAGAGTGTCAGCAAATGACAACAGACTTTCCAAGCAACCAACACCTGTTTTCTTGTGCGATATAAACGAATCTTGGTGAAACTAACTTGAGTATTGAGATCAGTCTGTTCTTCTGTGTTGTGACGAGCCAAGTTGACTTGGGCAGGATCCATCTAAAAGTTTGGATGTCGTAGATCAACGTGAAATTGAAATTCGGTACCAAAAGTAAGAATGTGGAGTACGTTTAAAATGATATAATAAAACAGGATAGAGAGCTGCGGTTTTGATTTCGAGGTCACTTAAAACAAATGGTTCATTGCTTGTAGGTGGTGAACAAAGTAGCTAAAGGTTTGACTTGGATCAAAAGTGATTTTGAAGTTTTGGTGAGGCCAGCATCGAGAATATAATGTGCTGAATATGTTTAAAATCTGAAATTAAAACAAAATGCTTAAAATACTCAGCAGGTCTTGCACTACATGTCAGAGAAAAAAAAACATGTTTGCTGTATGACCTTTCATCATTAGAAATAGAAGAGTTTTTGAGCACTTCTGATGGTGTGAAGGGCAAAAGAGAAGGCCCTGGGTAGGTGAGATTAGATGAGAAAATGGTTTAAGAAGTCGTCATGGGGCAAGTCAAAAAACAAAAGATTTGTCCAGAGAAGACATGAATAGCAGGACCCTGAGTAGCTGTCTGCGGGGGGGAAAAAAAACAGAACATCAAGCAAAGATACATGAAAGAATTCAGGTGGGGGCATGCGGCGCAGGCAGCAGCAATAATGATTGAAATTTGTTAAACCT